TGTGTCTTTTGGATATGTTATTTGATGTTAGATTGTCCGCTGTACATGGGATGATATATGATCTTGATAGACTCAGTTTGCAGCAAAAAGTTTACGTGGTTGAAGGAACCATAAGAAACCAATGAGAATGACCATAGGATACTATAGGTTGTACACAACAGCCCCCCTTTGAAGTTTGCATGTCAAATGCATCTCAGGCATCCCTGGCGCGAAGCTGGCCTTCGGTGGCAAGCCACTGACTGGACACCAGATCCCTCCACAGCAACTGGGCCGAAAATATGGGGGTTTCCAATATGGGTACCCCAAATCATCCATTATTTGATTATATCAATGGCCATTTTAGGAACCTAAATTGGAGGTACCTACCATATATAAGGCCTATGTAAGGCCTATGTAAGGGAATATCCCCACAAAATATGGCCTTATATGGTACAGTACCTCCATTTTAGGATCCTGAAATATGGTTTATAATGGTTTTAATGATTTATAGTGGTTTCTAATCAATTCTAATCATATATAATGGTTTTGGATTGTTTTTCCATTATAAACCAACCATGACTGGGGTACCCCCATGACTATGGAAACCCAAATTCATATCAAAATCCATCCCACCATACGCATCCATACGCCACGTTTTCGAATATGAATTTGATTGAACTTCGTTCATCATCACCGGTGTAATCTGTGTATCCATTGCGGAACATCCCATTCATCCCAGCAGGATGTTTCAGGGTTTGTTTGCGGAACATCCGCCGATATTTGATGAGAAAAACCATGGTTGCATGTAGATCTAGCCTATTCTAGCCTTCAATCCATTCTGGTTGGTGAAATCCATCTAAATTGATCCGTTTGAATTGGTCGAAGCGCCTTCGCAGCAGCAGCCATTCTGTTTCAAGCAGCTGCCGCAGCTTCCTGCCATGGACAAGGTTGCGCCTGTGCTTGGCGGCCTTGCGACTTTGTATGTCGCCTCTAAGGTCATCCCAGTGATGCACCCCGGACCGTGAATCAGATGCGATAAAAATTGGACAAAAATGGATGGTTTCCCCTATGGAAAAACGATAAAAATGGCTGGTTTACATGATTTCATCATCAAACATGGGGCATTGAACTGGTTTCATCACTTTGCATTTCGTGTTTTTTGTCCTGTTCTACGCGTTAAACACACCATGTTTGAAGATGCTTGAAACCTGTGGGAAAGCCACCAATTTGAGGGTGGAGCATGACTTCCGTCTTTATGTGTATATATATATATGCATATAATATATATATATATGTATATATATATATACACCATACGCACATACATGTGTAAATAATGTGCCATTTGCGAGAATCACCCTATTCCAAAAACGATGGAGTTGGAGAAAACAAGATGGCTGCCGCTCAAAACTTATCGGATCGTTGAATTTGGATGGGCCAATAGAAAAATATGGAAGATTCGGGGGTCAATCAATGGGGACTTGTTTTTGAGCCATAGCCAGAGTCAGAAATTTCAGTTTGCCCAAGTTCCTTTTCTTTTGTGTCACTTCCCTGTTTTTTTTGGCGGGGCACGCTTTGCTCATTTTTTCGGCTGTTCCATTGATCCCTTCATATCCCTGCCGTAGCCATCGGTGTTGCCTAGCACCACAAAGCCCAGTGGCTTCCTCCAACTTCATTTTGGTCAAGAAAAACATGTGCTTGTTGAGTAAATCTATGTAAATCTTCAGCTATTTCTTTATATTCATGTCTATTCATTACATAATGATTGAATCTGAGGGAGAGGCAAAAGAGTAGGATATATGTTTAGGGGAAAAACTACTATTTTGTGGGGAAGAAAATAGAAACATGAAGGGCGTGTCATACTACTAATAATGTTTAGTTCTGATGTGTGTTAAGTGTGCTTCCATATTTTATCGGATGCCACCATCCTGTTGAATTGATTTCTCACATTTCACCAATTCATATTAACATAATAATGCTAACAATTTGTTTCGCACATAATCAGATCCATATATATATATACACACGCGTGTATGATCTCCAGTTTGTTTGATCATGTTACCCGACGCTTTCAGGGAATACTTCAGGTACTGTACCTAAATTATAGTGATTTAGACATGTGCAATTTAAGCGCATGTTGTCACAAGGATGTCAGGTGTACCCCCCCCAAAAAAAGGTGGTTTCGTGGACTTCCTGACTTCCCCTCATTCCAATCCATTGAATCCCCGGTTTTGGTCTGGTTTGGTTGGTTTAATAACCATTTTGAAATCTTGTGTTGTTGGTTCAATCAGTTAAATCTTCAGTTTTGGATGGTTAAATCCCATTATCTCTTGAAGAATCCATTGAACATCGAAAATACTTGGAGCAACCCAGTCAGTTATCCCAGGGTTTATCCATTGAACATTGAGAATCCCATTGATACTTGGGGTTCCCAGCCGGTGCTTCCACCCTCTCTGCCGGGTGGCCCCGTGCCTCACAGGTACCACTGGGAGCTCATTCCAGGGGTCGCCTCTCCCGCATGGTGGGCTCGTGCAAACACACTCCGCCCCTGGGACCCCGTGGGACCCCGTGGGACCCCGTGGGACCCCGTGGGACCCCGTGGGACCCCTGGGACCCCTGGGACCCCTGGGCCAGGCTTGGAATGTTGGAGAGCTACCCTCTGGTAATGAAACATGGAGATGGAAAACCATGGAGAATCATCCATTTACAGCTGATTTTCCCAGCTATAAACCTCCATTCAAAGTGGATTTCCCATCAAAGCTGGAGGTGGGATGACGGAAGTCACGGAACTCACTTGATTAAACGGAAGTCACTTGACTCACGGATGCTGTAGCTTTGGATACGTTGAGCCACTAGTCTGAAAAGGGCATGTCGAAATACCAATGACCAGAACATTGCTTTGGGGTCAAGCCAGCAGCAAGCAGCACTCCCCAATGCTTTCGCATTTTGTGAGATGAAGGTGTTTCTGTGAGTTAATTTCATCCTTCTCTAATTTGGGACAGTAAGAATCTTCCTTCCATGACACTTTTGAGCACCACCATGGTCCACCACTCCGCCCGAAGTGCCCGAAGGGTGATTTCACAGTGCTGGGCACTGATATTTTAACTGAGGTTATGATCACTATTCCGAGGGCATCGTCTATTCCCAGTATGACAATGGCGACCCCATCAGGGAGATCCCAGAGGAAAGCAAAGGCGCGAAGTTTCTCGGGTGGGGAAACTGCTCCTGAAACCTGGAAGAGGAACATCCACGAAGGTATCCAAAGATTGCCAGGTATGGTTAGAATGAAAGAGGAGTAACACTGCTGGTGAGCTACAACTCTATATGTGGCACATGCATTCGGCAAAAGTCTGGAATGTTGTGCACTTCAGAAGGTGCGGCAACTCGCCCAACTGCAACTACTATAGATGGCACGTACCGAGTTAGCCGTTAGCCTTCGGCCCTTAAGTAATTCTTCGGATAGTTATGGCAACTACTGTGTGGCCCAAATAGTTCGATGTACGTCACATTACCAGAGAGGTTACCTCTGATGAAAGCTGTGTGGATCGAGGCAAGATGATCCTGCGTCAGAAGCGGGGCGGCTGGAAGCTCCAAAGTGAGACTCGGAAGAACTGTGGAGGAATCGTATCTGGTTAGTAACCATAGCATAGCTGCTGCAAAAAACAGATGTGATATGAGGAAGTCCCACTTACTGGACTTAAAAGCCATATGGTTCTCAAATGTTATTAAGATTTATTAAGTGCGTCAAAATATACTTACTGGGATGATGCCCCAAATACCGATCATGTGTTTGGGATGTGAGGCTGCATCGCTTGAACTGAGACACGCAGCCTGACTCAGGAGATGGAGTGATGGGCTGCAGCTGGAAGCGGCTTGCAGTTGGCAGCTCGGTAGTGACAAAAATGTTCAATGGCCCAGCATATAGGAGAGCCACTATAGATGTGATACTAAATAGATGCTGATGTTGTTGAAATGATCTTGAAATGGGATGCTGCAAGGTCACCAAGGTTTGAACGATTCCAAGATGAGTTGCTGATGTTGATTACAAGATGCTGCAAGCAACAATTGGGAGAAAGTGAAGCATAGTGAAGCCTTTTTTTCGCGAACCTTTGGCCGTACATTATTCAGCTTGGTTTTGTCAGCCCTGTGATGTCATTGGAAGCGGTAGCAACCAAGGTTGAAGTTTCTTGGTTTTTGAGAGGCGTCGGTGGGACATGAATTGCGGATGAAAAAAATGCTTCCTACTCAGCGCCTTGCACTGCCCAGGGATCCCAACGGACTTGTTTTTTTTCTCCCGGGATGGGAAAGCATGGAAAAGCAACTTAGACGTAGTAAGATGTTGTAAGTGTGGTGACCTGACTGGTTTGACCCACACTGGCCAGAATGGTGCTTGTTCTGGTCAGGTAGCACACATGCTGGTGCTTAATTGATTTGAAGTGTTGATGAAGATTTGTGTGCAAGACTGGAATGCTTTGTTGAACATGCTTAAGCAATGGTTGGTAGCACTTGCCCATTGAGAATCCATTGGTCAAGATGTGCTGAACCAGCTTGGGTCAAAGGAACCCGGCACTTTGGGCACTGAACAGTATGCCGTGACTGGCCGTGACACAGGGGAGCCTCGTTCTGTTTGTACAGCTGTGTGTTTGGCTCAGAGCAAGCCTATAGTATGTGACCCAACCACTGCAAGAACTCTCATGCAGGTGTCAATTGGGGACCGAACAAGCCCACAGATGATGGATGCTTCCTTTCAAATGGTTGAGCCGTTGAGCCCCTCAGTTTTGACCACTATCATCCCACATCTACAGAGCGACCGAGCCTTAAAAGACCCAAGCCCCTGGAAGCTAGGCCGAAGATCCACTTCAAATGGGCAGCTAGCTGTCCTGTTTGAAGCAATCCTCTAAGTGACCTCTCACAAGGTCATGTTCCAGAACATGTGGCAAATCCTGGATCACCCCAAGAACACTTTAAAACTTGGATGACATTTGGCGGAATTTCCCCTCTGGTGGTTTCAACTTAGCGGCTACCGAGCTCCCGCTTTTTCACTCGCCATGATTCCACGAGTTTCCCCCGCCATGCGTGGCCGGAATGATGATGAAGGCTGCAACTTGCATCAAGCCTAGGGGGTCCCCTACAGGGTCAGCGGATTTCTTCATCATGGGATACTCTAGGATTTGCTGCGATGATTTGGCTTTCCCAACAGGAAATCCACTGGGGAATTTATAGCGAATCGTTTTTATGTTTGGGGGACCCTTAAGCAAATCCAAGCACTATAATAATGAGACATAATGAGGGATGGATATATCAAAATTTCCTGGAAGATGCTCTATTGTTTTTTAAATAACAGCTGTCGAAATGGGAACCCACCATTTCAACAGAAAAAACATGTTCCATACGGTCAGGCATTCAACTTCTGTGCTGATTTTCAGGGCTTACCAAGCACCGCACTTGGATTTGCCCATTTGCAAGTGTGGTAGAACTAGAAAGTGACCAGCGTCGCTCAAAAAGTGTGGAATGTCCAGCTCTCAGCTGCCGCAAAGGACAACCCCCGCACTTTTGAATGGGGAAACGATATGAAATTATCATCCAAAATCATCTTTAAACTACACTAATCTACATTCATCTACCAATTTCCAGACCATTTGGGATTTACCCATGGGCCCCAGGTGAGACATGCGTTGGCGCCGGACAGCTGGAGGGGTTTTTCAACAATTCCTCGCTGGAGTGTCTCGGCTCACCATGGTGATCTCGGCTCGGTCACCGTTGATCCCTTGGGATGACTCCTGAGGTCTGAGAGACGGGGCTGGGGCCACTTGGTGTCTACCTATTTCCAAGGCCACAGATTCAGAGCAGGGGTACCAGTGGGAGAAGTCTGGATTCATAGACCAACAGTTTGAAAATACTTTTGTAATAGTTTACAGTGGTTTTACTATAGTTTACAAGATACCATCCGTTACTACAGTTTGCTATAGAGTAGCTTAGACTTAAAAGGGAGGTACCAACTTTATGAACAGCTGGGCCAAATGGCTCTTCGACAACCTGGAAGGCACTTTGTTCTTTCACCTTCAAAGAAGTCCAGCGTTGCGGGGAGTTGAATGGGCGCGATGCTTGGCAAGCTCTGAAGCAGGATCCAATAGGACATTTAAAGGCTTCAATATATGAATTGATTGAAAAACAAGTGAAAATATGAAAGCCATTAAATATTTTATTCCATATCACGATCAATGCATATCCTAATTGGGATTATTGATTTTCATTTAATGGACCGTAATTGGGATATTGATTGAAGAATGATGAAAGACATGACGTTACTGCCACTTTTCGGGCCCAGGGGCTCAGCAGGCTCAACATCAGTGAGGAAAAATGAGGTCCCAGAACCCCAGGGAGACTGTTCATGTTTTTTTTTTGCCACCTGAAAAAAGAATCTTTCATGATGAACCCCCTTGGTTCACGTGGATTGGTGGGAGCCATTCCTCAAAATTCACCCATGGTTTTTTCCGAGGAGATGATGTGGTGTTCTTCGAGGTGATGGAAATCAATGGGAGGTATGAGGCTGTCAAGATGTTACTGCCCAGCATGATGGAGACCCAGCTGGGGTCGGTGACTTGGTGCAGCGAACAGAACTGGTTTGGAGTCATTTGGTAAGTCCTTTTCTGCACATGGAGGGGACAAAAAATGCCCTCCAAGCATCCCATCCCCAATTCAGAAATGGATCATATAAGATACCCTCTGGTTATTTAACATAGCCATGGAAAATCACAATTCTTAATAGCTAAACCATCTATAAATGGACCAGAGGGTATCCCAAAATTGTAGTTGTTAGGTGGATCCCACATGTCACCCTCTGGCGGTCAGTGGCAAGGAGTGCAAGGCTGAAGCTGACATTGAGCAGTTCGAAGGTCAACGAATTCAAGGGAATTTGCGCAGCCAGTGGCAGCTGGTGAAGGAAACTTGGCTGAAAAAATGTGCAGCTCGGGTCAGGTATGATAATGATGATAGCAATACTGTAATGATAATGATAGTTCCACTCCAATTTGGCTGGTTTCATTTTGTGCAGTTCGGATAAGGTTTTAATCATGTCAAATCATTTCAGCCAGAAAGAAATGTGAAAATCAGATTCATATTGATGTATTGCTTGTTTTGACCCTGTTTTAATGGAACAAAATCCGCCCAGGAAAAGAAGTGGGGATTCGTTTCTTGCAATGATCTCTTTGCGGGAAATGTCTCCTGGCAGATTTGTTTCTTCAGATTCTCAGATTCTTCAGTTGGTGTCCAGGCTTGACGAAGATGCAAGTTTCATTGATGCATATATATTCATATGCTATATACAGTACTCTAGAAATAGAATGGAATGAATGTATGTATATTCCATGTTTTTTTGCCGATAAATTTTGATGATGATTTTTTTAATTGCTCACATTTACATTCATGCACTGGCTATTCCGTTGTGCTTCAGGTGTTTTGGCATTTGGACGAAAATCCCAAGATGAAGGATGTGAAATTCCAACGCGGCGATGTAGTGGAGTTTGAAGTCTACAGGGATGACAGTCGAGGAGAGAAGTCCCAGTCTCGAGCCCGAAATATGCTGCTTGTCAGATTACAGTCTTCAGGAGATTCAAAGGAACAATGTGGTAAATCCGGTAAACCCAAGAATAACCCCTACAATTTGGGGATGAGTTTGTATTGCCAGCGAGAGTGCATTCTTCTTTTTTGAATCCTCTGTTCGCAAGAAATGGCCGATATGGCCGTCCCAGGGAGTTTATCCACGCTGCGGAGACTCAGAAGGGGGAGCAGAAACTGCGGGAGTTCTCAAAATACTTGAGCCCCAGCAAGCTGCTGAAGAAGCAAAAATGGATTGACAACTGGCGTGCCGGGCCTCCACCCGATTGGACTTGCAAAGGTTGCAGCCTGGTTGCAGTTTCTTTCTAAACGTGGAGCCATGGCTGGGGTGGGATATTGGGCCACTGGGATCACTGGGATCACTGGGGCCCCAATCTTGGCCGAGGTGGATATCACAACTTTGGCCGCAACAAGATTTGCAAGACGTGCGACACCAAAAGACCTCCTCGGGAAGAATGGCCAGAAGAAAAGGTCGGACCTCCTCGCGAATATCCACTGTCCAGCAAGCATCGAAGTCCCTGATTTTCCTGTTGCACCATGGATGGTTCTCTTCGTGAAACCACGGCCACGTTCTTGTTAACACTTGATTGATGAGTCGGTTCATATCGGTTCATATATGTGTCACTTCTTTCGTCAGGATGAAGAGCTTCAAAAGGCCGTGGCACCCAACATCCCCTTGCTGCCTGCAGCGTTTCAGGCATTGGGCCAGACCCCGGGAATTTGATGGTCCGAGGGTCAGACATCAGGGCGGCTTTCGTTGGATCTTAAAAGGAGATCGCTCTGACATGTGGCAGGCAATTCTTCCAGCTGAAGTTTGGCAGAAGAAAAGAACTTCAAACTTAGTCTTATTTGAAAAGTCTACCCTATTTGAATATTTTGAATGCACCTTTTGTTACCGAGGATTGTTTCAGCATTGTTGACTTGATTCAGTCCTGTGCTTCAGGCGAACTTACCTGTACAGTTTCAATCCTTCGCTCAGAAACCATTGGAAGTGAGACGGAACTTTGTGGAGGAGCATGCATCAAAGAGCGACAAGGCATCTGGATTTGTCTGAAATTGGGTACCACTACATCCCTGGGTGTGCCATAATTATTCTACTACCTAATTATTTGGTTGCCATTTTAAGGGTGTACCTCCTCATTTGTAGACAGGCCAGCACCATGATGGCAGCTGCCCTTTGAACATGAAGATTGCTGTGGCCACTAGGTCAATCAAGCTCCAAAGGTTCCTGCTAGATTTTATATGGCACCAGGCTCACAGTTCACATGTCCTTCTAGCCCTGGCAAAGGAATGTAAAGGAAATGTCAAATAACGTGCGTAGTCGTTTTTACAGCGGTTTTGCCTGTGGTGTTGGTGGCGGGGGGGGTGACATGATTTTGCTTCCCCATCAGCTTTCTGCTTGTGTTCTTTCCCGCCTTCCACTGCCAAAACATGGAGGAGACGGATATGCTGCTAGATGCCACAGCGCTGGGTATCGGTGGTTTGGAGACGGATATGATGCTAGATGCCACTGCACTTGGTACCACTGGCTTGCAGACGGATACATTCCTGGATGCCACTGCACTTGGTACCACTGGCTTGCAGACGGATATGATGCTAGATGCCACTGCACTTGGTACCACTGGCTTGCAGACGGATACATTCCTGGATGCCACTGCACTTGGTACCACTGGCTTGCAGACGGATACATTCCTCGATGCCACCACTGGCTTGCAGACGGATACATTCCTGGATGCCACAGCGCTAGGTATCGGTGGTTTGGAGACGGATATGATGCTAGATGCCACTGCACTTGGTATCGGTGGTTTGGAGACGGATATGATGCTAGATGCCACTGCACTTGGTATCGGTGGTTTGGAGACGGATATGATGCTAGATGCCACTGCACTTGGTACCACTGGCTTGCAGACGGATACATTCCTGGATGCCACTGCACTTGGTACCACTGGCTTGCAGACGGATACATTCCTGGATGCCACTGCACTTGGTACCACTGGCTTGCAGACGGATACATTCCTGGATGCCACTGCACTTGGTACCACTGGCTGGCAGACAGGCGCAACACCAGATGCCACTGATTGGCACAGGGATACAGCATCTGGCTGGAACACAGATGCAGCTGGCTGGAAGACGGATGGCTCTGGGTGGAACAGGAACACTACGCAGAATGCAAGTGGCTGGCAGGCAGATGAGTGGCACAGGGATACAACGCATGCAAGTGGCTGGGAGAGAAATTCAACCCCGGATGCCAGTGGTTGGCGCAGTGATGCAAACCAGCATGCCTCTGCCTGGCAGACAGGTGCGAATGCAACTGGCTGGCAGGATGCCAAGGGCTGGCAGACGAACACCATGGTAGACTACCTTTGCTAGCACACTTTTTTTTGGGGGAGGGGTTGTTTATACAACCCAAAGAAAATGTAGGGTTGACATATGAGTTTTCCTATCGTATCCAGGAGGATTGAATATTCAAAGCTCTGTTTGGTTGGCGGAGGTCTCCAACATGATTGTCGGACCAGCAGCTAGAAGCTGAATAGTTGGACCACGGCCCACAATTCGCCGTGATAATATATATATAATTATATACATATATGTAATGTTCATTATTTTTCATTGTTTTCACATTTTTTGGTTTCTGATGGGGTGAGGTGGGGTGGGGTGGGGCTAATAAGGTCCTTCTCTTGCATCCCCACAGACGCGTCATCTTACGCTCTCATATCTACGTCATGTTACACATGTCTCTCTTCAGTTGCTACACCTACGTCATACTGTGTAGCGTCCTCTTGAGCTTGCTTCTACTTTTACGGTCCTCTTGAAGTTGCTGTTGCGTTGTAACATCTTCAGTGTAACATCCTCTTGACTCTTGAAGTTACTGCTACGTAGTGGCCTCCTCTTGAAGTTGCTGCTACCTTGTACCTCTTCTTGAAGTTGCTTCTACGTTGTAACATCTTCTTGAAGTGTATATAACTTTCTCTTGAAGTTGCTTCTACGTTGTAGCATATTCTTGAAGTTGCACCTTCTCGAAGTGTAAACTTGTAACGTTTTCTTGAAGTTGCTTCTACGGGGTAACGTCGTTTTGAAGTTGCTTCTACATTGTAACATCTCCTTGAAGTGCAACGTCCTCTTGAAGTTGCGGGAAAAAAACAACTGGGAAATTTGAACGCTGTCGCTTTCTTGCGCCACTTGACCAAAATTTGGTGATGATGCGACTAGTTGGCTCGCATTTTTCAGAGAAGGAAACAAGGCAATTTTGCAGACATCGACCACCGATGAAGAATAGAACCCCATGGAATTGCATTGATTTGACCGCAACATCGACATCATCAGAATGTCGCTTTGACTCACGGAGACATATTAGCCGTGAACCGAGTAGTTGCAATGGTTCCCCTCATTCAGAGCAGGTGTTTTACCCGAAGACATTCAGGTTTAAACTACCCTTGTTGTATTTCTCATCTCTGCTACTCTAGTTCATCAGTTCACGTGTTCGGTATTATGTTTCGAATGCTTGTTTTGCTGGTTGGTTTGCGGAACGCGCGTATTAGCTCCCTGGGCATCTCCAAGGTAAATGTCTTTCTGCATGTTGCTGCTTAGGCTGCCACATCACCAATCGTAGCGGACCGCGGCCAGCCTACCAGCCAGTCTACCGAGCAGACGGACGCCCTGGCTTGGCTTCATCTTAGAATAATAATGTTGAGGTTTGTGCCCGGTAATTTCATCTTTTCATAATTTCATGACAGGTTGTCATTAACCAAATGCAAATGTCAGAGCTACTGGGTATAACACATATATATATAATTAAGGGCTGCCGCCCCTGCCGCCGACCCCGGAATCAACCACCAGGAGCGCCGTTTTTGTTTCTTTAGCATTTTTTAAATATCAAATCTCAAATCTTGGAACACGAAAAATCACCGCAAACCTTGGAGAGAAACCATGCTGCCCCCGTGTCTGGGTGGATTTTATACGGATTGAAGATATGGCTTGGTACTTAGTGTTTCATACAATTTTTCTTTATGCACCCCCCTGTTGTCAGGATGTCAGGCGACCAAAGGCGCTGACGCACACCTCCACTACGGTGGATCACCAAGGTCACAATTAATCAAACAAGATTGATATAAGTATTGTTCAGTGCTTCGCACTTTCAGGCCTTCGCCTCGTTTTTTTTGATACATAGATTTTTATGACATTTATTTGATAGATATTTTAATTGAATAAATATATTTGATAAATATATAGTTGATATAGACTTAAGAAATAGCAAGAACCCCACATACACACACATACACACCCCACCCACCAAACCTCTTTACCCCCCTGTCAGCAGTTCGTCGGCCAACGCGAAACGAGCCAGCGACACGAAGCAATCCTAGCAGACGTTCGCAAGGAGATTCAGAAAATGCACGAAGCTAGACAAACGTCGACGGGAACAGAAGAAACCAGAACAGGTGTTGCCCATTCATCGACCCAGCAGCTTGCTGTGGGGCCCAACACACCGACGCCGCACGTGTACACATACCTCTGCCCGCACTGCGCCAAATCTGTGCAAAGCACTGTGACGACAGGGCAAATCGATCACCGCCGTGGTGACGGCTGCGGCAAACTATTTCGCGTTGCGAATGGTGTGCTTGCAGGTCGCACACATGCGCACACATGTCCAACATGCGGCACGGTGGTGCATTCAACAAAAGTTTCCGGCCAAATTCAAATCACGCATCGTACGCCCAACGGAAAGCAGTGTCGCACCGACCGATGGGCCGTGCAGAACTGATCACAAATGGAGGCTTCACCAAACAGCGGAACTCCGAGGGACGGACCGGGACTGCAGGCCACGGCCCCCAGTGCCTATAAGCGTTGCTTTCAGAACCTACAAGAAAACTAGCTGTCTTAGTTGTCTTCCAGCCGCGAAGGCTCACAAACGGCGCCTTCGCCACACCGAAACAGCAGGGCCCTGAAGGACGGACCGGGCCTGCGGGCCACGGCCCCCAGTGCCTAACGTTGCTTTCTGAACCGAGAAGAAAACTAGCTCTCTGAGCTGTCTGTCTTCCAGCCGCGAAGGCTCACAAACGGCGCCTTCGCCACACCGAAACAGCCGGGCCCTGAAGGACGGACCGGGCCTGCGGGCCACGGCCCCCAGTGCCTAACGTTGCTTTCTGAACCGACAAGAAAACTAGCTCTCTGAGCTGTCTGTCTTCCAGCCGCGAAGGCTCACAAACGGCGCCTTCGCCACACCGAACCAGCAGGGCCCTGAAGGACGGACCGGGCCTGCGGGCCACGGCCCCTAGTGCCTAACGTTGCTTTCTGAACCGACAAGAAAACTAGCTCTCTGAGCTGTCTCTTCAGCCTAACGTTGCTTTCTGAACCGAGAAGAAAACTAGCTCTCTGAGCTGTCTGTCTTCCAGCCGCGAAGGCTCACAAACGGCGCCTTCGCCACACCGAAACAGCCGGGCCCTGAAGGACGGACCGGGCCTGCGGGCCACGGCCCCCAGTGCCTAACGTTGCTTTCTGAACCGACAAGAAAACTAGCTCTCTGAGCTGTCTGTCTTCCAGCCGCGAAGGCTCACAAACGGCGCCTTCGCCACACCGAACCAGCAGGGCCCTGAAGGACGGACCGGGCCTGCGGGCCACGGCCCCTAGTTCCTAACGTTGCTTTCTGAACCGACAAGAAAACTAGCTCTCTGAGCTGTCTGTCTTCCAGCCGCGAAGGCTCACAAACGGCGCCTTCGCCACACCGAAACAGCAGGGCCCTGAAGGACGGACCGGGCCTGCGGGCCACGGCCCCCAGTTCCTAACGTTGCTTTCTGAACCGACAAGAAAACTAGCTCTCTGAGCTGTCTTTCTTCCAGCCGCGAAGGCTCACAAATGGCGCCTTCGCCACACCGAAACAGCAGGGCCCTGAAGGACGGACCGGGCCTGCGGGCCACGGCCCCCAGTTCCTAACGTTGCTTTCTGAACCGACAAGAAAACTAGCTCTCTGATCTGTCTGTCTTCCAGCCGCCAAAAGCCTCACAAACGGCGCCTTCGCCACACCAAAACAGCAAGGCCCTGAGGGACGGACCGGGCCTGCGGGCCACGGCCCCCAGTGCCTAACGTCACTTTCTGAACCTACTACAAGAAAAAAACTAGCTGTCTGAGCTGTCTTCCAGCCGCCAAAAGCCTCATCACAAACGGCGCCTTCGCCACACCAAAACAGCAGGGCCCTGAGGGACGGACCGGGCGGCCCCCACTGCCTAACGTCACTTTCTGAACCTACAAGAAAACTAGCTGTCTGAGCTGTCTTCCTGCCGCCAAAAGCCTCATCACAAACGGCGCCGCCGCCTGCCTAACGTTGCTTTCTGAATCGACAAGAAAACTAGCTCTCTGACCTGTCTTCCAGCCGCTTGTTGCTTCCTGGCTTCTTGTTTCTTGCTTCTTGCCGCTTGTTGCCTGTAATTGCTTCTTGCTTCTTGTTTCTTCTTTCTTGTTTTCTTGCTTCTTGCCCTTGCTGCTTGTAATGACTTCTTGGCCCTTGCTGCTGGTAATTCCTCCTCTGACGCGCTCCCCCTGCTGCGAGCGGGGTCGGCGGATATCTATACGATAGTTTTGGCCCTATTATTATGCAGCTAGTGTTGCGCCTCACAGGTGCATGGTTGCGCCGCACAGGCGCATGATAGTTTATCAAAGTATACGGGGACCTTGTTTTTTTGGATCCTCCGGACGGGGAAACAGCATGGCAGTGAAGGACGGAGAAGGCGGAAAAAAGGCGGCGAAAAACTGCCTAACGTAACTTCTGAAACCCATAGAAGATGAGGATTTCTAAGCTAGTTGTCCCGCTCCAAAACGCGGTTCTTGGTCGAGGAAAGACCGCGCAAAACCACAGCCCCCGGACAAGGAAACACCATGGCAGTGAAGGGCGGAGAAGGCGCAAAAAAGGCGGCGAAAAAGTGCCTAACGTAACTTCTGAAACCCATAGAGAATGAGGAGATTTCTGAGCTACTTGTCCCGCTCCAAAACGCGGTTCTTGGGCGAGGAAAGACCGCGCAAAACCACAGCCCCCGGACGGGGAAACACCATGGCAGTTTGCAGCTGCATCTGCTGCTGCTGCTTCTGGTGGTGGTGATGCTGCTACTGGCGCCTGCTGATGCTGCTGCTGCTGCTCCTGTCGTGCCATGAACCAGGCGCGCTCCCCCTGCGAAAAGTAGCCATCTTCTAGCTTTCCAAGCTCAGAAACGGCGTCTCCGCCATGCCCAAACAGCAGGGCCCTGAAGGACGGACCGGGCCTGCCGACAACGGCCCCAACTGCCTAACGTTGCTTTCTGAAATTACACGAAAAGTAGCCATCTTCTAGCTTTCCAAGCTCAGAAACGGCGCCTCCGCCACGACCAAACAGCAGGGCCCTGAAGGACGGAGAAGGCGGAAAAAAGGCGGCGAAAAACTGCCTAACGTAACTTCTGAAACCCATAGAAAATGAAGATTTCTGAGCTACTTGTCCCGCTCCAAAACGCGGTTCTTGGGCGAGGAAAGACCGCGCAAAACCATAGCCCCCGGACGAAGAAACACCATGGCAGTGAAGGACGGAGAAGGCGCAAAAAAGGCGGCGAAAAAGTGCCTAACGTAACTTCTGAAACCCATAGAAAATGAGGATATTTCTGAGCTACTTGTCCCGCTCCAAAACGCGGTTCTTGGGCGAGGAAAGACCGCGCAAAACCACAGCCCCCGGACAAGGAAACACCATGGCAGTGAAGGACGGAGAAGGCGCAAAAAAGGCGGCGAAAAAGTGCCTAACGTAACTTCTGAAACCCATAGAAAATGAGGAGATTTCTGAGCTACTTGTCCCGCTCCAAAACGCGGTTCTTGGGCGAGGAAAGACCGCGCAAAACCACAGCCCCCGGACGGGGAAACACCATGGCAGTTTGCAGCTGCATCTGCTGCTGCTGCTTCTGGTGGTGGTGATGCTGGTACTGGCGCCTGCTGATGCTGTGCCGTGCCATGAACCAGCCTCCAAAGCAAGAAACCAACAGCCAGACATTTGTTTCGAAAACGTTGCTTCTGAAACCCTAGAAAAAAAAGATTCAAAAGTATTATTCCCTGGCGCGCTCCCCCTTCGAAAAGTAGCCATCTTCTAGCTTTCCAAGCTCAGAAACGGCGCCTCCGCCACGCCCAAACAGCAGGGCCCTGAAGGACGGAGAAGGCGGAAAAAAGGCGGCGAAAAACTGCCTAACGTAACTTCTGAAACCCATAGAAAATGAAGATTTCTGAGCTACTTGTCCCGCTCCAAAACGCCGTTCTTGGGCGAGGAAAGACCGCGCAAAACCACAGCCCCCGGACGGGGAAACAGCATGGCAGTGAAGGACGGAGAAGGCGGAAAAAAGGCGGCGAAAAACTGCCTAACGTAACTTCTGAAACCCATAGAAAATGAGGATTTCTAAGCTACTTGTCCCGCTCCAAAACGCGGTTCTTGGGCGAGGAAAGACCGCGCAAAACCACAGCCCCCGGACAAGGAAACACCATGGCAGTGAAGACGGAGAAGGCGCAAAAAAGGCGGCGAAAAAGTGCCTAACGTAACTTCTGAGACCTATAGAAAATGAGGAGATTTCTGAGCTATACTTGTCCCGCTCCAAAACGCGGTTCTTGGGCGAGGAAAGACCGCGCAAAACCACAGCCCCCGGACGGGGAAACACCATGGCAGTTTGCAGCTGCATCTGCTGCTGCTGCTTCTGGTGGTAGTGATGCTGGTACTGGCGCCTGCTGATGCTGCTGCTGCTGCTCCTGCCGTGCCATGAACCAGGCGCGCTCCCCCTGCGAAAAGTACCCTATAGAAGAGGTTAGACAATTAAGAAGAAAATAGTTAACTCCCAAAAAAGTTAACTACTTAGTTAACTTGGTTGTAAAAAGGTAAAAAAATAGATAGCAAATAGTTAAAATAAAGTTAAATAGTTTTAAAAAAGTTAAAAAATAGTTTAAAAAAGTTAACTATTTTTTTAACTATTTTTTAACTATTTTGTTTTAACTATTTTTGGTCATTTTTTGAATATTTGTGAATTACTTTTTTGATATTTTGATTGATTCCTAAGTTTATTTTTATTATTTTTGGGATATGGAATGTTGCGAACACTATGAGAGTGAGAGTCACTTAGAGATAATGTTTAATCACTTTTTGGTGGTGCAAGCTTGCAAACACTGTGAGGGTGAGAGCCCAGTTTAGAGACAGTAGTTGAAGTTTGATTTTGACATGGTGGAATGTTAGAGACACTATGAGAGTGAGAGTCACTTTGAGATAATGTTTAATCACTGTTGGGTGGTGCAAACTTGCAAACACTGTGAGGAGAGACCCGCATTTTGAGGGACCAAGCACTTTGAGAGACCCAACACTTGGAAAGGGTAAGCACTTGGAGAGACCCAACACTTGGAGAGGCCCAGCACTTGGAGAAACCTACACTTTGAGAGACAAGTGCATTTTGATAGGAACACCCGTGATTTTGAGAGACCGAATCCGTGCACTTTGATTGACACACTGCATACAATATTGATGAATCCACTGCATTATAAAGGGTATCAATTTTTCTTTTTGCAAGCCATATTCCTTACAGGGTTGTGGCTCCTAGGGTAGACACCAAAAAATGTTGAGAAACACTGCTGTGTTTCAGTGCCATGGGTAGACTGGTGCCAGATCCATCAGTCTGTGTGCTGGACTTGCAGCAGGTTATCAACCAATTTTGCAAAGAGAAGGGCAGTCATGACCTTTGGAGTTTGTTGGCACCAGAGCCATCAAAAAAGGTTACCTGGAAAACAGCACCTGATCCAGAGTGGTTGCACAAAATATCACCTTTTCTCATCAAATTGGTCTCAGTTGTGAAGAACCTTGTGGTTGCATCAAAGAAGTTGAAGACAGCCATGGTGAAGATTCAGCCCCAAGAAGTATCATTTAACAGAACATTTTTCTTGTTCCAACCCAAGTTTCTATTTTTTTTCGCTGGATTTCCTTGTTGTGTTTGCTTCCCCCTTGCCCACCAGTTCAAAGGACCACTCAGCAAAGACTGAACTATTCAAAGATGAAGGATGAACAATTTTTTGACCAGTTGGACCAATACATTCGTATAGGAGCTGCACAGATCAGAACACTGAAGATCAACCAGGCAGACTTCATTAGAGTTGCCAAGAAATGTAGCCAAGAAGAAAAGAAAGCCATTGAAGAAATTTTGGAGCTGGTTTCTGTGGATCCTTGTTCATTGCTGAAGTTCATAAACTTTTTCTTTATGATAGCAATGTCTTTGCATTTTTTGGTATAAATACATGTCATGATGTGATTGTACCCAATGATGTATTTCACTGCCATCTAAGGATGGAAAGCTTGAAAGTGATGAGACCCGACCTGATTCCCAAACACCACACCCTCCCATGGCAAAGGCAGGTCAAGAGCCAAGCAGCAGCTCCACTGGAGCTTGTGGAAGCCCTGGTAAGGATCTCTTTGGTGTTTCAAGCAACTTTTTCCAACAGTTTCACAGCCCAGAAAAAGCAAAAGAGACTACAAGTTGCACAGACCTGGTACTACATGAAGGCAGCAAACCTTCCTATAAAAGAAGCTTTGCTAAAAGCAACCTCACTTTGGATGAAAAAAACGACACCAGTAGGCCTACCTTGAGGAGACAGCTGGCAAAGAGCAATTTTGACTTGGACAGTCAGGATTTGCAAACACTAGCACTGGCATTAGAATGCAAGAGCCACAAAGCAACCTCTGATGTCAATGAGCCTAAGGAGATGAAGGCACCTGATGAAACACAAGTAACACCCAAGAAAAAGCGACCTGCCAAGTCAAAGTCCAAAAAGGCAGCAAAGGCCCCAGCACAGCCAGCCCCCAAATGCAAATCCAAAGCAAAAGCAAAGAAAAAGAAATCTTCCAGAGGAAGCCCGTCTGGTGGATATAAAACTACATTTCGCCACAGAAAGACCAGCAATGCATACCACCTAGCCAAGAATATGGCTTTGAGGGCTGGCATTAGCCCAGAGAGTGCAAGGATCAAAGGCAAAGCTGCAAGTGCCAAGGTTGTGCAACAGATTGAACTTGGAACTCTCAAAGAGGGTTAGAAACTAGAAGGTGAACTTGCTTCTTGACCTAGGCTGCCAGCAAAAAAAGATGGCATCTCTTTTGAGTGCACTTCATCACCAACATTTGTTGGGAGACAGTCTGAATATCTAAGCAGCATCATACTTGAGAAGCACTTTGAGGGTGTAACACTTTGAGAGACTAGCACTTGGAGAGTGGCACTTTGGATTTACACTAGCTAGGGTCATTAGCTTACTTGACTTGGGATGGCTTGCAACCATTGCAGGTTCAAGGTGCTACAGGTGCAGCATGCAAAGGTTTCTAGACAGGTTAGGTGGCAATGGCCCAAGCTTTGTTGGTACTAAGTGGACTTGGAGAGATGGTGCCTTGTGGCATTTGACCACCTATGCCTCTGGTTGGCAAGAGTGGAAAACGTTTGATGAAGTTGCACAGAGCTGGCACTGGGTGACTCAAGCTGACAAGGAAGCCTTGAAGGACTGTGCTTTTGCAAGGCAACTTTTTTTGGAGCAATTCTTTTGACACCACTGTTTATCTTTCTATTTGTTGCTTCACCTTGTGCCAGGAAAAGATCACCCAAATGCACATGCCAGGGCCACTGGGCAAATTACGCTTTTACACACCAAGAATGTATGAAGCTATTGGTCCCTAAATATCATTTTATGCCTGTCATCCTTCACCTGGCACTCAGGGGATGGGATAATCCATCTAGCCCATCCACCAGCTCCAGCTGATGACTTATGACCTTGGGATCTTGTAACTTGACAGAACCTGGAAATTACAAGTGACAGTGTCACACCTCATACAAGTTGTTGGCCTTGTCAGCCAAGGTAGCAAACTTCTGGCGATGGAACATCTTTCAACTAGCCTGCTGAAAATCACCTACTGAGTGGTTTCAACTTTGGGTCACCTTCTATATTTTGAAAGTAACACATTGAGAGACCACATTGAGAGGCAACACTTTGAGTGCACTTGGTGGGTAGTTGGTGGGCAATTCATGGGCACTTTCATACTGGCAAAGCACACTTTGAGAGAAAGAGATGCACTCACTTTGAGAGAAAAGTTTCATGTGTTTGTTCATATGTGAACAAAATCGCAAAGAAAATCATAGAAAAATCAAAATTTCAAAACTTCAGGTGTAGAAGTTTGATAGTAGTTTGGTAGAAGTTTCTATCAAACTTCTATACGCACACTAGAAGTTTCATTGAAACTTCTACCAAACTTCTACTAGTGTAGAAGTTTGATAGAAGTTTCTATGTTGGGGTAGAAGTTTACTAGAAACTTCTACCAGACTACTACCAAACTTCTACCCAGCCACTTGTTTTTGGTTGATATTTTCACATATTATCTTGTACAAATGATGATTTTCCTATTCAGAATTCATGTTTTTTTCACAAATAAAATGCAAAGTGTTTGCATTTCCTTCTTCACAGAGGGACCATTGGTTTGAAAATGCTCCAACACAATGGTTTGACACAAATCATTTGTTGCATTGCCCAAGAACAGTGTTACTTTTTCATTCAAGTGTGATGCCCACATGGTTTGCCCAAAACATAATATTTATCAAAGTGTAATCTATTGTGTGTTGGGTTTTGTTTTGGGGACATCACACCAGAATCTTCTGTGTGAAGATTTAGTTTCACACCTTGTTGATGAAAAGACCCGCCATGGCAGAACCTCCAAATGGAGAAACAACAGTGGCTGAACAAGCTGCTGCATTGGGTGAGCAAAATGCACCAAAGACACCTGAGAAGAAAGAAAATGAGTCAAGGAAGGAAGCCACAAAGAAAGCTACACCAAAGAAAGCCACTACACCAAAGGCAGCCACACCCAAGTCACATGCTAAAAGTCCCAGCGCAGCAGAAAAGGCCACAGGACTCAAGAGGCCAGCAGCCAGTGGTAAGGCCAAGGCAGCTGCCAAGGTAAAGCCTACTACCAAGGTTAAAAAGGTACCAAAGTCACAAGCAAAGGCAAAGTCAACACCAAAGGCAGCACCCAAAGCAGCTGGCAGCAACAAGCCAAAGCATACAGATGAGCAGTCAGAGCAGGAGCAGAAGAAGGAACCCCCAAAAAAGAAAGGAAAGGAAACTTTGAAGGACCAAGCAATGAAATGGGTTGACAATTTAGACAAGCCAGAAGATGAAGAGAAGGACAATACCACAGAGGCAAAGGCTGAAGAGAGAGACAGGCAGAAGGCACAAAAGTTTAGAAAGCTTGAGAAAGCAGGTGCTTTGCCTGCAGAAGTGAAGGAGGCCTTTGATGCAGCTGAAAAAAGCCAAAACCCAAGAGCCAACAAAACTCAGCTCATCAACAGCCTTTTCAGAAAAGAGGGCAACAACTTTGTGATGGTTCCCAAAGACCCTGCCTTCAAAAGGGTTCAAAAGCTGTTGGATGTGAAGTATGGAAAGGAAGAGGCACAAAGTTACTTGGATGCAAGTTTACAACTTACAAGGTACACACAGTACACACATACAAATGTATATGTATGGAAAAATCAAAGGCACATACACATGTGGTACCTTTTTGGGGAAGCAAATAGTGATGGTGAAGGGACATGTGCCACTTGCAGGCAATCATGTTGGAGCCCACTTTGAGCATCACTTTGGAAACAGTATATTCTCCCAAAAAAACACATCATACACCTGGGCCTGCCTGGTTTTGTATTTCTAGATTTCATGAAAAATGTCCATCTTCATTTTTTAAGTAGGGGTTCATGGTTAAGATTTAGTTCTGGTTCATGTGTCATTTTGTCAAACACCATAGCCATCCAAATCAATGCTGAAAGCCTTCACCTTGTTGTGACTGATGGCTTGGTTCAGGTTTCCCCTGGTCCATCATGCTCCATGACAAGTTTGGTGGCAACGAAAGTGCACTAGAGAAAGCTTTACAGTGTGGGGATGTTGTTGTGACCAGCTACCAGGGAAAGGACTATTATAGCTACAACACTTTGAAGTCAGGCAGGATGAAAAGTTTGGGTGATGAAAGTGAATTGAATGATGGCCAGCACAGCTTGGATGAAAGCTCTCACCAAGTCATTTCTGACTGGTTCAAGAGCTTGAATGTTGGCTCACTGCAGCAGCAAGTGGAGGACTCAGCAGAAGCAGCAGGAGACACAGTTCTAGTTTTAACAAAGCCAAAGACTCAAGAAGTTGACTGGAACCATGTTGAGAAGGTGTTGCAGTCAGCAAAGGCTGCTCAGGAAAAGTTGATCAGGGATGGCATGAAGTTGAAGGAACAGGTGTTGGCAGCAAAGGATCAGGACTTACTTGACACCTTCAAGGGCAGCCTCAAGGATTTGCAGGACAATGACAAGGATTTGGACCACTGTTTGCTGTGGAAGGTCTGCTGGTTTGGTGTGGGGGTCACTGTGAGAGGTATATACTTTGAGAACACTTGGAGATTTGCACTTTCAGGGTTGCACTTTGTAGGGGGCACTTTGAAGGTCACACTTTGAGAGTCTCAGTTTGAGGGGTGCAGATTGAGGGCGCACAAATTTTTGAGCACTTTGAGGGAAAACTTTGAGGTATCATTTTGAGAAACATTGTTGGAAACATTGTTCTTTCATAGCCAGCCACTTTTCCCAGTTTGCAAGAAAGCATCCTTTGAAAGACATCTTGCTGTCTAGACCACATTTTGAATACAACTAGCATATGCACCCTTACATGGTCCAACCCAAACCTTATGTATTTCATCCAGCTTCAGACTGTGCTAGGAATTACCTGGAGGCAAGAAATGGGATGTCGCGAGTGGAAAGGATTGGATGACAAACCTGGCCAAGCAAACCCAAAAGGCCAATGAGAAGATTGAAGGAGTGAAAACAACTCTCAAGGTGAGGGGGTTGCTGTAGGGTAAGACCAGAAATTTGTGAGAACTTGAAATGCAGGTAAAGCAACCTATATTTTATATAAACTGAAGTTGTCATAGTTCAACTGTCTTTTTTGGATGGGTTGCAATTTTGACAATGTGTGCAACCCTGGGCATATCACAGATTCTGGCAGCTTTATCAAGAGCATTTTGCTCTGCTAGCAATGGTGTCGCAGCAAGAGATTGCAAGACTGGAAAACATTTTTTGGCATGGGTTGGGGCACTTGGTGGCTCTTGTGCATGTGCCTGAAAAACATTAGTCCAAACAATTTTGTTGTTATGATGCATTTGGCTGAGGTTGATGTTTGGAAGTTTGTGGCATTGTCTTTTTTTTTGGTGTGCACTGCAAGGTAGAGGCTGGAAAACACCTTCCAAATTGTGAGGTGGCATATTGAACATTCATTTTGATAGCAAGATACACTTTGAGAGAAAAATAGGAAGCACACAGTGTAGGGTGCATGTTGGTTCAAAACATGGGGTGAAAGTTAAGGTAGAAGTTATTTTGGGAATTGTGGAAGCTTGGGGGTGCCACTTCAAGTCATTAATGTCACTTTGAGAGACCCACTTATGAGAGCCACTTTGAGAGACACACTTATTGGAACCACTTTGAGAGATACACTTGTGAGAACCACTTGGAGAGACACACTTCTGAGAACCACTGAGAGAGACACACCTATGAGAACCACTTTGAGGGACACACTTGTGATAGCCACTTTGAGAGCTACCTTGAAATTCAGAAGCCACATGTTCAACCACCCAGGTGCTCAAAATCAAAAAACAATTTGCACAAAACCATGGTTTCTTTCACACAATGCAAGGTATAGTAATCAGTTTGTTTAAAACAAATAGCTTCGAAACATGAAATATATGTTCAAAACAAGCTGGCCTTGAATTAGCTCAGAAATAGGGGAAAGTGTTTTTCTTTAACATTATTTTTAAAGCTATTTTTAGAACTACTTTTTGAACTATTTTTTTAACTAAGACAAAAACAACTTAACTAATTAGTTAACTTTTTTTTTGCCTAAAAACATCGACTTAACTATTTTTCAGAATTAACTATTTCCTTCTTAATTGTCTAACCTCTTCTATAGGGTAGCCATCTTCTAGCTTTCCAAGCTCAGAAACGGTGCCTCCGCCACGCCCAAACAGCAGGGCCCTGAAGGATGGAGAAGGCGGAAAAAAGGCGGCGAAAAAGTGTCTAACGTAACTTCTGACACACATAGAAAATGAAGATTTCTGAGCTACTTGTCCCGCTCCAAAACGCGGTTCTTGGGCGAGGAAAGACCGCGCAAAACCACAGCCCCCGGCCTTGTCAAGAGTGTGGGGGAGATGAAACGCAAAGACGCATTCACCAAAGCACAGTGGAAACAAGACATCTATCGGGTCTGCAAAGAATGCACTGCGCAGAAGCGTGAGGCCGGCACGCCATATCGATGCACACAGTGCGGCCTGTGGCACGCCGCAGCACACTTTGCGTCAAAGCATCACAACCCGCGGTGGCGTCTTTACAGAGTTTGCATGTCGTGTGATGCAGTGAAACAATGTTTCTCTTGCACAAAGAAGCTCACAAAAGAATATTTCACGGTGCCAGCATGGAAAGCAAGCAAGCCAGAGAGGAGGCTATGCCTACATTGTCAAAAGCAAGGAAAATGGACATGTGCACGCTGCCACCAAAAATTACCTACGCTGCAATTCTCCCATTATAACAAAATGCGCCCGGGCGGTGGTCAAAATGGCAGGCAAACTTGCAATGCTTGCCGTGCTATTGTCGTGCAAGCGAATGTGCGTAAGCGAGCTGCGAAGTCTAGCATACAACGTCTGCAATCTGTGCGTGAGACGCTGCGCCGTCGACAAATTCTCCGCGAGACATGGGAAGCAATCGCAGACCACAGAAAAAAACACAAACGCTGCGCGAGGACGAGCGAAAAAGAAGCCACAAATGAAGTTGCTACTGAGAAAGAAATAGATCAAGCCTTGCAAGTACCTCTTGCAACACCACAGCAGGAGCTTTATGTGTACACATGCCCTTTTTGCCAAGGTTCAGTTACTACGTCAACTGCTTCCGGACATATCAACCACCGACGCGTGTGTGGAAAACAGTTTCGCGTGCAAGATGGGCTTCTCCGGCCGACGCTGCCTACGATCCGCTATTCGCACACATGCCCGACTTGTGGGACCTGCGTGCAGAGCACCAAGAAATTTGGGCGAATCCAAAGCAAACACAAACAACCCAGTGGCCGCATGTGCCGCCTAACGCAATGGCACGCAAGCTGACAACAAACGACCAGTTGCAGTACTTTCTTGTCTGCCAAGGTACATCTTTTATATTCTTTTATATTCTTTTATATTCTTTTATTAACAACTGCTGTGTTGCTTGTGGCAATTGCGGCCCGCCCACATGTGAATCCAGGCCCGCACCAGCAAAAAGGCTATAACGTATCTTCTCGAACTCTAGAATAATTCCGAAAAAATGCCTGAGGTGAGTTCTGCAACGTTACAAGAGCAGCATGTTTCAACACATTGTTCCTGCTGCTGCTGCTGCTGCGAAAACAACAGCTCCCGGCATCTCCCCGTAACAAAACAGACTGGCACTAAAGGACCACCACAAACAGCATTTTTTGCGGAAAGTTCTGTTGCTGCTGCTGCTGCTGCTGCCGCTGCTACTGCCACGGCCGCTGCTCTGGCTGCTGCCGCAGCTCCCGGCAGCAAAACACCATGGCCCTAAAGGACGAACCGAGTCCAAAATGTGCGTTTCTTACTGCTACTGCTGCTGTTGGAGTCACTGCTGCCGCTGCTACTGCCACGGCTGCTGCTCTGGCTGCTGCTGCAGCTCCCGGCAGCAAAACACCATGGCCCTAAAGGACGAACCGAGTCCAAAATATACGTCCTGCGGTCGGAACGTCCCTTCTGAAATCCTACAAAAAGCTTGCTGCTGGTGCGGAAAGTTATTATAATCAGTTTTTTACCTTACTGCTACTGCGGCTGCTGGACTCACTGCTGCCGCTGCTACTGCCACCACCGCTGCTGTGGCTGCTGCTGCAGCTCCCGGCAGCAAAACACCATGGCCCTAAAGGACGAACCAAGTCCAAAATGCACGTTTTCCGGGGCCGAAACGTCCCTTCTGAAATCCTACAAAAAGCTTGCCGCTGCTACTGCCACGGCCGCTGCCCTGGCTGCTGCCGCAGCTCCCGGCAGCGAAACACCATGGCCCTACTTAGGTGCTCCTTGAAAGTTATAAGTCACTTATAACCTATGGTTATAACTCACTTACTAAGTCATAACTTCTTAGCTAACTTTTTGTAACTTTTTTTTTGCTATAAAAAAAAAGTATCTTTAAGATTGAAAAAATGCTCGTTTTTGATGATATTGAGTGTTTGCTGTCTTCAGCGTTTTCAACTGCCTTAAAAAATGCTAAATGGAGCGGTTTTCAAACCGCTAAAAGCTGTTTTTGTTTGAGCAGCCGTTTTCAGCATGTCAAACACTATAATTAATCACGTGTTAAAACCCAAACTGTGAATGAAGATGTGTTCATGTCCACTAGAGAGGATGTATTCCTTGAAGAAGTGTCCAGGTGTTCACTTTACCTTGGCTAAATGCTGCAGTGTCCCTTTGACAAAATTCAATTTTGCAAGATATCCTAGATGTCTTCAACGTAATTACAATATACATCAACATACCCATACCTGACAACAAATGCATGTGGTATTCAAAACAGAAACGCAGCATACCCTTCTTCATAAGTGCAATCTTCCTTTGGAGCAACGCAGTGTGTTTTTGCAGAACAATATCCCTATGAAATATCAAATGTTCCTTTAAAAGATAGGAGTACAGCGTGCATTTAACAAAATTTCCTTTGAAAGGGGTCCTCCGGGTGAAAGGGGTCCTGGCCTAGAAGCCTCCAAGATTAATTTCGACCGAGTTTTTGCCTTTGTATGAAAAACTCGGTCGAAATTAATCTTGGGGGCTTCGCGCACATAAGGAACATTCTTGGCCAGGACCTCTTTCACCTTGGGAGCCCCTTTCAAAGGAAATCTTGTTATTTCCACATGTCTAACCTTCCTTTCAAAGGAGCAGTTTCCCTTCTAGAAAAACCAATGTTGCTGCACAATATGCAGTATTTTTGAGATAGAACATCCCTTTCAAAAGCGCAATATGTTTTGAAATGTGAGATTTTTTCAGAATGTTTTTTCGCTCCTTTATGGCAACACAATTTTCCTTTATGGCAACAGAGCATTGTCCTTTATGGCAACACAATTTTCCTTTGAACAAGCAGCATTCGTGGACACCTGGATTACTTTTCATTGATATATGTGTCTAATCTACTCTAATCTAATCCAATTTAAATCCAATCCAGATATATCTCATCTATATAATCCAATCCAATCCAATCAAACCCAAACAAATCCAATCTAATCCAATCCAGTCCAATCCAATCCAATCATATCCAATCCAATCGAATCCAATCCAATCTATCTAATCTAGCCAAATCAAATCTAATCCAATCCTATCCAATTCAATCCAATCCAATCCAGTCAAATCCAATCTATCTAATCTAATCCAATCCAATCTAATCCAAGCCAATCCAATCCA